GCTTTTGAAGTTTTGAAAGAGAAACTTATTTCTGCTCCCATTTTAAGTTACCCTATAGGGGATGGTGAATTTATTCTGGATACGGATGCTAGTGGTTATGCAATAGTTGCTGTCCTTTCACAGGTACAGGATGGTGAGGAAAAGGTTATTGCCTATGCTAGTCGAATGTTGAGTGATACCCAACAAAAATATTGTACTACGTACCGGGAACTTTTAGCGGTAATTACCTTTGTCAAATATTTTCGCCACTACCTGTTAGGTCAAAAATTTAGGATTCGCACAGATCATGCATCTTTAATTTGGTTGAAGAATTTTAAACACCCAGAAGGTATGGTTGCTAGGTGGATTTCTGTCTTGGATACCTATGATTATGAGATTGAATATCGAAAAGGTACTCAGCATACGAATGCTGATGTTTTGTCCAGAAAACCGTATAGGTTGTGTAAACGCTCTGATTGTCCTGCGTGTGATAAGAATCAAGTAGGTCAGAGTTGTGATAACCCCGATAAATGTCTTCTAGCACCCATTAGGCCTGGAAATAGTGATTTAGATGAAACAATTCCCTATGTTGAAGATGATAGTGATAACGAAGGTGAATTTGATTTGCCCCAAATTTCGAATTGGTTAAGAGTTTGGACAAGTGAAGAGAAAGTCTCTTGGCAGGATAATGACCCTGATATTTCAAAAATTGTAAATATGTTAGGAGAGTTTGATGAAAAACCTGACAAGGAAGTAGTTTCCGGTTGTTCATACGGAATTAGAAATTTATGGAGTGTATGGGAGTCTTTGTCAATAGAAAATGGCTTACTGTATTATAGGATTGAAACGGATAATGATGAAAATCTTGTTTTGGTAGCCCCAGCAGAAATTAGGAATCAAATTATGAAAGAATTTCATAATTCAGTAATATCTGGTCACTTAGGTAGAGATCGAACAATTAGAGCAATTAAAAATAGGTTTTATTGGCCTGGAATGACTTCTGATATAAGTTCATGGGTTCGTGAGTGCATTGTTTGTGCTAAAGCTAAACCTGGCCCAGGTATAGGTAGATTTCCTTTACAACAGTCTTTAGTGGGTTGTCCATTCGATAGGATTGGGGTTGACATTGTAGGCCCATGTCCCATTACTGAAAATGAGAATGAGTATTTAATTGTAGTACAAGACTACTTTACAAAATGGACTGAGGCTTTTGCAGTTAAGAACCATAATGCTTTAACAGTAGCTGATAAACTAGTTTCTGAAATATTTTGTCGCTTTGGAATGCCCCTACAAATACACAGTGATCAGGGCAGGGAATTTGAATCCATTCTATTTCAAGCAGTTTGTGATAAGTTGGGAATCGATAAAACTAGAACAACACCCTATCGGCCACAGAGTGATGGTCTTGTTGAACGTTTCAACAGAACTTTACAGAAAATGTTGTCCATGTTTGTCAATAAATTCAGAAATAATTGGGATGATTTATTGCCTTACTTTCTAGTGGCTTACAGGGCCACGGAAAATGATTCAACTGGTGTTAGTCCCCATAAAATGTTGACTGGTAGGGAAATGGTTTATCCGTTAGATATTATGGCTGGAAACCCTTCAACTGTACATACCCAATGCCCAGTAGAATATGTACAGTGGCTGAATTATTCTTTCAGGAAAACATTTAATTTTGCTAGGGATAAGTTGTCAAAGTCCGCTACTAGGCAAAAGAAAAGTTATGATAGGGGACTTAAACCTCGTCAATATGAAGTGAATGATTTTGTCTATAGATGGTATCCCCCTACTGCAGGAATTAAATTAGGGTTAGGTTGGAGAGGTCCATATAAAGTGAAAGCCAAACTTTCTGATGTGACTTACAGAATTCAAGAAACCCCTACTGCAAAGGACATAGTAGTTCATGTGGATCCTTTAAAATCCCATTTTGGGAATGTCCCTGTCACACGGTTACCACCTGAAATAGAGGATGAAATCCAGTCTGATGAGTCCGATATAGAACCCCCGTCATTTGATTTTCACTTGTCATTTGATGAAACTGAAAATGATATTCCCCTTAATATGGATGTAACCCCCTGTACCCCTAGCCCACAAAGAACCAGATGTGGAAGAACAGTGAAAAAGCCAACAAAGTATTCACCGTGTATATAGTTTTAAATTTTTTTGCTTATAATGTTTGTACTGAAATCAGTACTTAGTTTAAAAAAAAAAAAGAAAAGTTGAAAAATTCAAGTTTGCATATTTTTAAATTATATTGGTGCGGTAAAAGTAATAATACTGAGAATGGTAAGCAGATGGAATAAGGTATGTACTTTTCATATCTGAATTTAGTTTGAGGATTAGAATAAAAATAAGAATATTTGATATGTTTTTATAAGGGTGTAATTTATGCATAGCAGATTTTAATTTATGTTGTTATACAAGCATTAGTGAAGGATAGAGCAATGTATTGACATATATGTTGAGACTTAACATGCTTAAGTTATATCATAAAATATATGTAATGTATTTTTATATGTTCGCTTCGTAGACCTATTAAAAAGGCTGTTTTTATTTATTAAATAACAGAAGAGTTCATATTGTTTTCACATAATAGTCACATTTTTCCAGTTACTCATTTAAAGAGTTTATCAAACGTTGATAGGAAATTGTGCGTATGGATTTTTAAAGTTTCACATATTATACCTAAGAAAAAGGCTGTCACACATTTGTTTTATTCATTTACTATTTACATAATGTATGTTTGTTGACAATGTAGCATTATTACTCTTATGTGTGTACATGAGTACCTTATATATTAACTGTTCATTTATCTTAACAAATTATTTATAATATGTATTATATTACAGTATGGCAGAAGAAAGACCTGTGATTAAAAAGGGATATAATTGTCCAGTAGCAACATGTGGACGGGGTCCATTTAATGGATTCCGTCAATACCAGTGACACTGGCATAGCAAACATGTTCGCCATATAAAGGAATTTAGTTGTGTTGGTTGTAATGACTCATTTCCACGCAGGCACCATGTCAAGGAGCATTTAATGAACTTTCATCATTTTTCATCACGTCATGCCATCCTCATCCTGCCATCCCTACAGTCTAAAATCACCATAAATTTAAACTATGTAAACCCAGGGAAATGTTTACCGCCGCTATGGGAGGACAGTAGGAACATAGAGGTAGCTATGGTTCAAGAAGAGGAGGAGGTGTATGTAGACGCGCAGGAATACATACAACCACATGAATACGTACAACACGATGAGGGCGTCCCGAGGGATATGGAATATGAGTTGGCGGAGGAAAATGGGGAAATGGTTATGAAACTGGTACCAAAGAAAGACTTTTTATTTTGAACATTTAAATTAATTCATTTTGTTAAATTTATTTTCATGTATTGTGTATTTCATCTGTTAATTTATATTGGCTTGTATAGACCATTTATTGGTATTTGCAATGGTCTAGATGGGGGGGGGGGGGGGGGGGGGGGAGTGTGGCCGTGGAGCCTTGTTTTAAAACGTAAATTGTGCAATGTCATGGGACTTTCAACCTGGTTAATTTTAAAATATAGTATTTACACTTGGGAAACGTTCTTTGAACTTTAAATATTGATGTTACCTTAAAAATTTGTCATTAAGTAATTTTTAAATCCCAAACTGTTATATTTTCCTTGAATTTAGCCATGCTTTTTATTAGAGGAGTTCCGAAAATTATTATCTCTCTAGATTTTTCAATTGGGTGCGTTCGGAGATCTTTCTCTGTGTGTTTTTCTAAATCGAGGCATAACAAGTTTTTAATAGTAAATTTCATTGGTTTAACTTATGTGTTGATATTTCTTATTGGGTTTATAAATTTAGATATAGTTTCTATAATTAGAACTTAATTAGTATATAAGGCCCACATATTCTTAATATCATTGCTTTTTATGCAAGAGCCACTTGTCTGTAACAGACTCTTAAGGTAGGTGCCTATTAAATTAGGAATGTTTTCTACTAGCCAGCGTTAGTCTTTGACTATTAGCAACTTGGCTGATGCGTTAGTTACGACTTACAATTTTGGCTTGTTGTAAGACAAAACTTTGGCAAAACTTTTCAAACTGTTAAGCTTCCACGTCTGGTTTTTCCCTTCCCAAATTAAATTAAGTAGCCTGTTTATTTTATAAAACAAGTTTAGGTAACTAGTGTTAAGTAAGTAGGAAATTAAGGTTTTTCAATATTATTTTAGAAAAGGGGAGATAACTTTGCCCAATTTTCATTACACTGTGCTTTATAGGTGAAGTGTTGATTTGATGTATATTTATATTAAATTCTGACATGTAGATTTTTCGTTATAACATCATTAAACTATGTGAACTTGATTGTCTTTATTTAAATAAGCTACCAAGAGGAGTCAAAGACTCAGGATCGAACTACAACAGAACCTAGAGCTTAGATATACCCTGTTTTAAAGGTTTAGTCATTAACATGACACCGTTCATATTATTTTGGTTGTTTTAGTCATTGTCAATAATTCTGGTTGTTCTTTTTTGGTTTTTGGTGGTTTGAATCTTCCAATATATTATTTAGGTTGATCTCCTTGAACAATCATACCGTACTAAAACAAGACATCAACATTTACAAATAAACAATTCAGAAATTACATGAAAAACAAGACAGGATAACTAGCTCCGGTTACACTCAGGTCAATCTTCCGTTTTTTGCTCCTGAGTCCTGGTCGGGTTGTCTCGGACTCTCCTTGACACATTCCCCGTTGATAATCTTTGGACTCCTATTCTGTATTTCTGGAGATTATTTAAATGAATTGCCGTTTACTATATAGAAGGCAGAACAGAGACCAGGGCCGTGAGGGGCGGATCCAGCTATTTAAAAAAGGGGGTGTTTCAACCACATGTCCCCATTCAACATGTTCAAATCATGCATTGATCGTCTAAAAAGGGGGTTCCAACCCCAAGAACCCCCTCCCCTGGATCCGCCACTGTAAACATATTGCAGTTAGGTACAATTTCCAGCATCCAATGGATTTAGTGTAAAGAGGTAATAAACAGTGACAAAGAAAAACATGACCTTGTGCAATGCCAAAATACCGAGCAAAATACAGGTATGAACAGATTGTAGATCTATGAATGTATATATGTATACAACAATAATATTTAGTCTCCTTTTAATTTACTGATAACAAAATCAATATTATACCAATAAGACATTATTCAATGATCTAATCATTGTGTTGAATTGATAACCTTTTTTCTCTAATTCTTCGTCAATTTATCCCTTTCTGCACCCATTGTATAAAAAGAATTTAATCAACATGTGGTTCGTTTGATCTTAGAACTTCATTGGTTAACATGGTTAAAATCCGATTATGACATGTATGACGTCGAAATTTCTTGCTTTCCTCTGAAATTCCTATTGTGACGGCATGAAAAAAGGCGACCATGCCTGATGACGTCACATAGAAAGACCACATCTTTTTGCAGATCATTCTTGAAAACAAGGAATAAGTTTACCTGCATAATGTTAGAAAATCATTAGAGAAACAGATTCCACCACCATTGGCACAAAATCTCGTGTAATACCTCGCGTTTTAAATTTGAAAATTTAACTGTCTCGAGTGGATAAATATCGTATTACACTCGATGCAGTGGTAGAATCTATATATACATGTAATATAACAGTGTTAAAAGTATTTTTTTAAAGAATAATGTTTTCTTATCATGTCAATAAAAATAATGTTATTTTGATTTATAACACATATATTTTAAATTTCAGATCAGTCTCTTACTAATTTACAAACACATGTACAGCATATAACATGTATATCAGAATGTACAGACGATATAAAGAAAATACAGGTACATTTTATATTGACAATTTTGATTTTAAAGAAAACCACTCACTAATTTGTCATCGTGAAATATGATCATGATGTACTGTTTTCAAAAACAAAATTCTCCATTAAAATGTGCATGTCTTAATGCTTCTTAAATTAAGAAATAACTATTTAAGCACATCTGCTAGGCCAAGTATTCATTATGATTATTTTTTTATGAAAATCAGTCTTTGGTTTTTATTTTAAAGATTGAGCTAAAGTGTTAATTGCAGGACTGTACGGCAAAGTAAGGTTTATATACAATAAACAGTTGGATAATAAGATTAAAATTGAACCAAAAAGTTTGTGTGACGAAAAGTTTTCATAAAATGCACAGGGGCCATAATGTGAAACTACACACCTAATTGTGTATTGCTACCTCAGATCTACAGATATAAGTCAAATGACTGAAACTCACCCTTATATTAGAGTTTTTGCCTTTAAAAGATGATTTTAAGCTAATTTCTTAGTTTGATTTACCAAAAATCTGTAATGGATAGAAACATATGATGGAAATTTAAACATATATACAAGTATCAATATTCTATAGATATGTAAAACTATGCTATCATTATTTTACTCATAGTTGAAGGCTGTACAGTGACATATAGCCTTTAATTTCTGTGTCATTTAGTCTCTTGTAGAAGTTTATTTCATTGGCAATCATACCACAACTTCTTATTTTTATTATATTGATGAAAGATAATAGAAATAACAGGTGAGCAAATTCAGGCTCTTGTGATCATCCTGTTATTTATTTTCATGAGTAGGCATTAACAGTAAACTGATTAAATTAGCAATTTACAATATGATTTTAGGTGAATTTTGGGACATCAGTATTAAAGCTTAATAAAAAGAAATTCACAGGAACAACTTTGTTTGGTCTCATGATAAATGATACAAAGAAACTGCTGAAGTTCTGGCTCGACACTGGAGAATTCTTTAAAGACAGGTTATTATAATTATTATTATTTTGATATATATATAATCTCTTAAAATAAATAGTTGTGCGCACCATTCTTTGACAATGAAGAAGTTGACTCCTAATTTTTAGTCTTTTAACAAGAAACAAATTATAAGGGCTTCAAGAATCCATCTGTGCTTCCAAGTTTATGTTACAAATCATGTCTTGTCTGTAACACTGCAACTGCTAACCAGAACACAATTAAAGTTGCTATGCTGTTCTAGATTTAATAGATTACCATGTCCAGCTGTGACATCCAGTGTTAGAATTTTCAAAATAGCCATCATGCTCATGTTGACTGCTTAAACAAACTCAATTTATCTTTCAAATCTTATGTTAGAAAAAATAAAGTCTGTCAAATCTTATGTCAGAAAAAATAAAGTCTATCAAGTCTTATGTTAGAAACAATAAAGTCTGTCAAATCTAATATCAGAAACATAATATTTAAGGCTTTGTTTATTTAAAAAGGACGATGCTTATAATTTTTTTTGGTCGAATTGTGTTTATCTTTATTAGTAAAGCATGTATTAAAAACCAGAGGTTCATTGCTTATGACTTTTGCCTAACATGCTTATGGGAGTTGTTTCATTTTCTTATATGGAATCTGCCATATAGTATTCGTCTAAATAATAGCCCAACAATGTTAGATCTGTAAATTAGTGGAGGCAAATTTTTGTTCTTCCCTGGCTGGGATTCCAATTCATGCTACTGAGATATCGTGGCACCAAACTGCAATGGTCTATGCCTGGTGGTCTAGACCACTTGACCACCTAAGCTTGACAAAAATGAACCATTTGGTGGAAGGGTGTTACTTTTCCTTGTCATTTACATCTGGTAACCAAAAGCTTGATTTTTGCACTTAAAAGGCTGAACATGCATGATATATTTATATTCAATATGAATATTCACATTTTGTCTATTAAAACATCAAATTGTTCAAAAAATGTTTTCCATAGTTTCCTACTGGTTTCACTGTTTCACAGTTATCCATGTTTTTGGTGTATTTCAGCCTTATTTGTTTCCTATATATGTCTGAGTGTGTTTTAGGGAAAGATATGTTCAAGAATCTTCTTCTAGTGGTGAGCAATCAGAAGGAGAGGATGAGTATTACAATGAGCCGGTCCAGAACATTGATAACCTTTCAAATGAAGACAACCCCTTTGTTACACAACTGTCACAAATTTTACCAGAAAGAGCTATCAGTATAAAACATTTGGATGTTCAACATGCTGAAGACAATTTTTCTCAAGAATCAAAAAAAAAGGATGAAAGCTTAACTGATGAGTCCACAAGGTTGAACAGAAGACAGTTGATGAAAAGTATTAGTTTAAAGGCAATTGGGTTCAAATTCGTAGACATATTTAATTTAAAAGATCCACCAAAAAGGTTCAAAGTCAGAGAAGCTGATGAAAACTTTGTTGAAAAAATAGCGAAAGTAATGGTTGAAAAAAATTCTGTAAGTGTTGATAATGCTCCAAATATAATTGGCCTTATTGACATAAATAAGGTTGATTACCAAGAAGAAAACTTTTCTAAATATGAGGTATATATAGTGGATGGGAACCACAGTATTAAAGCACAAAAAGAGGCATACATACAGACAAAAGACGAACTGTTCAGGCATCGTGGAGTTTCATATACTGTGGTTTAACAGAAAATGAAGCAATTCTGCTTGGAATCAGCAGAAATGAGGACACTGAATCGTTTGTGAAGTTCTCTGATTTTCAGAAGGTTGATGTACTGAGGCGTCGATTGTATTCCATGACAGGCACACCAGACCACGCTGATCCACCTACAGTTCCTAAAGAATTTAAGGATGTATTTATCACTCTACTTAACTTGCAAGGTGTAAGTAACAGTTAATTGCATCTATATAGATCTTTTAAAAGTTGAAGTAAGAAATGTGAATGAATCTGGTTTATGTGCATGCAGAAAATCTTTATGCTCTATTTGACCAAACAAAGTTGATGGGGAAATGTTAACAATTGAAGTAATCTGCCTTAAAAGAAATCAACAAAATTGTCTAAAATCAAGCCAAATCAAATCAAAGTTTTAAACTTTAAACATAAAACTACTCAATACATGCAATACTACATACAGGCAAGACAAATCTCTCTGTCATCAGATTTTCAATCAAAAACAACACCAATTTAAACAAGTATCACAAGTTGAAATTTGTGTAGGTTACAATTTATGTCCAGAACATTTTTTAGAAAGCATGAGTCTATAATTTATATTACTATTTAAAATTACATGTAACCTAGTCAGTAAACAATTTATGTTTATATTATAAGATTATGTTTGCTTAAACATACTTGTCTTATAGTTGACACTTTTTTTTATATTTGATCAGAAAAAAATAATTAGCAATTCCTGCATGTGTCTGCTTTACCTATAGATGTTTAACATTGTGTATCTTAGAAGAATAGTGAACATCGTGAAGGTATCAACTGAAAACTTAAAATGTTTCAAATTTTGTTCTGTTTTGTTTAAAAAAGAAGGTGACTACTCTACTGAAGTCTGCTCCATAAATCATGCATGGTACCCAGGAAGGTACTTTCAAAATGGAGTAAACATCTGAAGAAGCAATTTTATAATTTTTTAGCATTTAACTGTATGAAAACACTCCCCAATATTTAAATTCTGAAGTGCCTTCTCCATGCATGAATTTACGAAACTGCCATGAGAAAAAATTATATATGAAATCATTTGTAATTAACTACAATGACTGTTCTGTATTTTCACAGAAAAAAGCAGTAGACAGCAAAAGCATGCTGAGGTTCCTTGCAACTGGACTTTCCTATCAATGCTATGAACTGTTTAAGAATATATGCTCAAAAAGCACTGGAAAGGTTCCGGCATCAAAATTTGATGGAATAAAGGGTTTGAAGGAAGAAGATGCATTATTTTGTCTCATCAATCTCTCAAGTAGCAACCTTCAAAGAAAAGATTGGCAGAAATTTAACTACTTGTGTCAAAGCAAGCAATCAAAGCCAAAAAAAGGTATTTTTTAAAACTTTAGAATGTAGTAAGATGCAGCATAGTTTATGCATAACGAATTATTTCAGTAAACCTGTACATGCAGTCAACATTTCTAGGGAAAAAAGGACAGGATTAGGGTTAATACAATAATTGGAACAAATCTGTCATCATCTGTGAAACAAAAATTCAATAACAGTCAATTAAATCTTGATGGCATCCATACAATTTACAACAGAATAATTCCAACTTCACCATTTTGAACTCTTAGTTAAATAGTGCAGCAACTCATGATAGGAAAAACAAGCCCTGGAATATTATATCAACTAGGAGATATATGCTCCATATGCATGCTGGAATGTTTTCTACGTAAGTAAAGGCCTGTACCAAGTCAGGAATATGACATTTTTATTCATTTATTTGATGTGTTTGAGCTTTTGATTTTGCCATTTAATTGGGGACTTTCCGTTTTGAATTTTCCTGGGAGCTCAGTATTTTTGTGATTTTACTTTTTGCTACATAGAAAAGGAAAGTTTGCAATTAAATTGAGTATGATCTATTGGTGTGTATATTGTTAATGACCCCTAAACCTGAAATAGAATACTAACAACAGATTAAAATTATGTTAAACATTCAATTTTTAGTTTATGTCTGTCATTTTTTCAGTTGAGGAAAGATGTAACACTAAATATAAAGTTCCAAACAAAGTGTACTCAGGGTTTTGTTGGACAGAAACAACTTGCAGGGAATTACACCTGGTTTCATTTCACTGATTGTAATAACAAGCAGATTATCTTAACTGATAAAGAAATGGAAAGGCTGGTGTTTTGTAAGTTTTTTCTTTATTTTTTTAAATATTTGTTTTTGTTTTTTAATGATAAGTAGTTTTAAACACTTTCCAAATGCTACTGATTTTCTGGACAAAACTTTGGCAATTAGGTCCTTTAATATGGTACAATTTTTCAATCGAAAATCAGGCGAACTCCAAATATGTCTCCTTTTCTGCATATTCATTGAAAAAAATAAAATTCGAAAGTTTTGTATTTTTTTTCTATAAGAATCATTTGTTGAATAATACTTTTCTTCAATTTAAATATGTTCCGGACCATATGAGTATTTGGACCATACGCGTATGGTCATGACCATATGCGTATACTCATATGGTCCGACCATACGCGTATGGTCCGACCGTACGCGTATGGTCGGACCATATGAGTATATACTCGTATGGTTATTAACGGCCCGGACCATATGAGTATTTTGACCATATAGGTATTTTTTTCAAATATGCATTACACCGTTTCAATAATACAATAAACTTTATCTAAAAAAACAATTATGGTAACATAACAATGTATTAATTCAAAGGCTACGTTAAAATTAAATATTGATGCCAAAGTTAATTTTCATCGTTTATTACATTCTTGCATGTAGGCTTATTGTAACATTTACTTCTACACGCGCGGTAACATAACTTTTTTCGAATTTGCACGTCATGGCTGTGCACGATCCTAATCAGTTACACCTTTTGTTTGCAAATGAAAAGATAGCCTTCTTTGCAGCTGCATGCAGTGATGCCGAGGTTTTGGGTTATTCCGATGTGTCTACGGTGTTTATGAAGCTCTAGATTTCAAATATCGTAATATGACTACGGTACACCATATTCACAAAACAACGTAAATAAAATATGTTCTTTGGAAGTGACTTCTTTTGTAACAGTTTATTGAGCAATTTTTGGAAGTTATCTTTTCAAGTCGACATATTGCTATTCACTCGTAATAACAAATCGGTAATGGACATGGGTATAAAATGTTTTATTATATACTGAACGACTTTAGAAACGCAACACTCATTTTGTTGATTTTTTTTACCAAATCTTGTTTGATTTTCTTACAACTACTTTGCATGCTTATCATACTTCTTTTTCCGTACAAAAAAAATCAAAATCTGACTTACCTGTGGTTATTGAACATACCGAATTTTTGAAGTCGCACGAATTTTCTTAAAGCGAAATTTTGGACCCATGAAAGATTGTTTCATTTTTTTTGCTTTGTGAAGCAGTCCTTTCAATCCTTTGCCTCACTTAAACCAGCTTAAAAATGTTGCATCTCCATGTTGCCAAGACTGAGAAACAAAAAACTGAATTAGCCCTTAAGAATACTGCAAACATTAAAACATAAGCTTGCTGCAACCATACTGTATGACTTCAGAAACTCGTCTTACTGTCCTTCCGACAAGGATACAAGTAGACAAGATTAGTTGCTGGCCATCAATGAACAGATAAACGTTTAGTGACAATGACATGTCTACAGAATTTGATTACGCAACGTCATTTGCCAGACATGTTAACGGTCGCAACGTCAACTGCTAATCAAATTGCCGAGTGCAATTGAATACAGATTCATGCCATAAATGTTTACCATCAACTGATTTGCCAAAGAGTCGACTGAAGGAAAACCTTAAAAGCCCTCAAGTTCCAACCGCATAATTGCCAAAACCAATTAATGGGTTGAACAAATGCAAAACCAGATGATGTAAAAGAGAACCCGAAACATGTCAGACAGAATTTGTTGACCATTCTGACAATTATTTTGGCTTTTGTAACATGCAGTCATCGCTTTTGACGGGGACACATTCATTAAAAAATAACACAAATATAATCTAGTGTTGCGTTTCTAAAGTTGGTCAGTATAGTTTTGACTAGGTAGTAAAATTAACGATGTGAAACTTCTAATTTTTATTCAGTTAATCTCTTTATTATGATATGATAATAAAATTACCTATATGATAGCGTATTTTTCAGGAACGGTCATACCATATGAAGAGTTTAGAAGTATTCAAAGTAGCCTGAAACAGAGTGTTAATTACCCCGACCATACGCGTACGGTCAGACCATACGCGTATGGTCGGACCATATGAGTATATACCCATATGGTCATGACCATACGCGTATGGTCCAAATACTCATATGGTCCGGAACAAATACACAACATGTGCAGTGTAAAAGATCTGATTTTGTCCACTGTATTTATACATGCTGCTGATTGCTGCAAGACAATCAAATGATTGGCCATTCAAATTTTATTCTAGTGTTAGTACTGCTTTTTTTGTACTTCCTGTGTTATCTCTTCTGCTGCATGTCATTATTTCTTTATAATAAAAATTGAAATATAAATCTCTGACCTAAAACATTGGCATATAGATCTATGACATAGAGCATTGGCATATAGATCTGTGGCATAGAGCATTGGCATATAGATCTATGACATAGAGCATTGGCATATAGATCTATGACATAGAGCATTGGCATATAGATCTGTGGCATAAAGAAATATTGACATAATTAGAACTATAGCCTAAAGCATTGACATATTGATCTATGACATCTTTTAACAGTTAATTGAAATTGATTGATTATCATTATTTTATTTTTTTCAGCATCAAAAGACAAGAGGCTTCCTATTTCTTCAACTCCAAATTTGGATGGTAAGTTTTATTAACAAGAGAAAACAATGAAAAGACATTTTTTTTTTAAATCAGTTTTTTTTCTTACAATTCCATATTAACCCTAAAAAATTGATATAATACTGATGGCTGTATTTTTGTTCAGCTAAGATTTAGGGAAAGACAAGAGAATAATGATTATTTGATAGATCTTTTATATTTACCATTGTTCCTCTGTAAGTCTGTCTGTCCCAAAAGTTATTTCAGTTCTTTAACTTTTAAGTTTCCTTCAACCAAATGCAGACAAAGTTTGATATTTGGTGGGGTCTTTTTTGCTGTTCTTGTGTTATGTTCCATTGTAAATACTAAATTGCAGAGTTTGCTGTAATTATAAGTGGGAGCATGGAAACATTTTTATTTAATTTTTAATTTTGAGTATATGAACAATTAGTAATTAAAAGAAATGTAATGTGCTTTTCAGATGAACAAGATTTTTTGGATAGATTCTCATCTCAAAGAAGCAGTGGTAAATTTTGTGATTAGAATAGATAACAAGCAACCAGAGTAAGGGTTATAGCAATAAACAGAAGAAAAAAAAACCAGTTTTTGTAGATGGCATCCAATGAAATTCACTGGATTACAGGCTCTTGAATTCCGGAGAGGCACTTAAACAATGTGACAGGGTTTAACATGTTTGTAAGCACTTGACACCCCTCCTAACTTGGTGTAACGTTGAAAGGATAGAACAAACTCATTAACAATCAGTTAAAAAGAATCACATCAGTATTCAAAAAAGTTTGTTCTCATTGCTACCTAATTATATGTAAAATTGATCTCTATTGGGAGGATTCACTTTCTTAACAGAATAATATGTTAACTGTTCATTGAATATTAAAGAAATAGAGAGATTTGAACACACCAAAAATGTTGATTGCAGAAATGTGCCATATCATATATTGCTGCTAAATGATTAATCTCCTTCATTAAAATGAAATCCTTAGTAATTTAAAAAAAAAGTTTGTTTGCATATCTTTTTACTTGTTATTTTAAAAACATAGGTTTTTTTTTTCTTCAGACCTTGATTCACATGATTCAACAGATCAATTTTTGACAGGAGCAGAATGTGGTAAGTTTTGTCTCACTTACAATAAATGTCACTGAAGTCAAACTATGGCATGCTGATATTGTTATCTGTCGTTGGCTTTTCAACAGTTGTGAAAATTTGCAGTAAGTCAATTTAAGGAGTATATCACTAAATGTAAGTCAATATATGATATGCATTTTTCTTGGGTTGGCATATATCATTTCCCTTTAGATGCCATCCCAAGTTGTAATACATTGTACTTCTAAAATTTACTTTGAAACTTTTGAACAATATATTTATAAAATAAAGAAGATGTGGTATGATGGCTAATGAGACAATTCTCCACAAGAAACCAAATGACACAGAAATTAACAGCTATATGTCACTGTACAGCCTTCAACAATGAGCAAATCGCATATCGTATAATCAGCTATAAAAAAAAAATCACAAAATTACAAATGTAAAATAATCAAAACTAGAATACTAACTGCCTAATTAATGTAAAAAAACATTGAACAGAATGTGGTGGGGTTTAATATGTTAGTCCGATGCCATTCCTCCCCCTAACCGGGGACAGTGGTGTAACAGTGCAACATAAAAATGAACTATAAAAATGATTTGTCAGTTGGTGGTTATAGACACGTTTATATACTGAAATATGTTCTATTTTAGCAGCTACAACTTCGCTTCCGGGAACTACAAGTTTTTCATCTAATGGTATGTAAGACAATATACTATTTTCATATTACCGACTTTTGACTGGTTTATATTATTGTTCGACAGGTTACCTACGACATCCAAGTACTCGGTCAATTAAGATAAAAGTAAAGAAGTAACATCAAACATTAGATCTGTACAATTCTTAGGGGAAATATACTGCTTTATATTTTCTTTACACGACAAACTCATTGGTAAATAGTAAAATTTCCCCTCAAACCACACCAATTAAATGTTTGATGTAACTTCTTAATGTTGCTCTTAATCGACTGAAGACAAGGATGTCGTAGGTTATAAACAGTAATCAAGGACAACTTTTTGTTTTAATGTTTTAATGTTTTAATATTTATATACTGTTATTGTGTATTCTACCTGTACTCCTCTTTACACCCTTTAGAAAAAAAATTTCAGTATTAACACATTTCAAAACAGTTTGCAATTTTTTTTAAGTCTGCTATTTTATATTTCACTCTTATTTTTCAACATGCCTGGCCACGTAAATTGAAATACTTCATGAAGAAAACTGTTTTGTTCCAGGAAAGCCTTCTATTTTTTGTGCCCACACTTATCACCCAGTATATTAGCATTAATTTAGAGTTCCCAATATCAAATATAATCTTTTTGTATGTGATCAAGTTAACATGCATGTGTGAAATGTTCTAATTTTTAAATTTTTAAATATTAAAAACAGAGTAACAATTTCTTTTTTGATAAATGGGATTTTTAAACCCTATATTTTATTTTTACTTAGTCATCACTTTTTAGGAACACTTTATTTTTAGTGATTATGATAATTGTCGCACCTGAAACAAAGTTAGTAAGATAAGAACTGCTTCTCATTAAGTAAAGTTATTGTATATAAAGTTGAATTAATTAATTTAAAAGGTTGTGAGCTCTGTTTTTCTCTCTCTTTCTATAGGAGTCTATTGCTGTATTTTGAAGAAAATAGACTTTCAATTAATGCAAAATTTTCAGTGATAAGTTTTCTGCTTAAGTAAGCTTGAAAGGAACTTCTTCTGAAAGATCAATGTTATTATCTAATAGTTGTATTACTATCAGTACATAGCAGTACACTATTCCAGGCCCTGCCCTTAGGTCATTGTAAAGTTTTCTGTCTTATAGTCATTTTGATAAGAGTAACTTTAGATACATCAATGATTTTTTTTTGAATTTGCATGACTATTAGTACACCTCAGATTGAAGATTATTTCAAGGCCATGCCATCAATTGAAGGTTCTTGTTAAGTGACTTTGAATTAAGTATAAATTTTCAGTGTAAAGTTTTCTGCTTTAGTCAGTTTGACAGGATCTTCTTGTGAAAGATCAATGATACTTTGTATAAAGTTGCATGTCTATCAGAAAATATCAGTTTTGCAATTTTTTTAGAGGCCCTGCTGCTTAGTATATGGTCCACTGATTTTGAAGTCAGTTTGATAGGAACTACTGATAAAATAAATGATATTTTGCATAGTTTTAAGTGGTACATCTATTACTATGCATAGGCAGATCCATTACTGGATCATGACTGGAGCCCCCCCCCTTTTTAGGTCAGTCAGCAGGCCCCCTTACAAAAATTTCTGGATCCGCCACTGCTATCAGTACATATCAAAATGATGACTATGTTATGGCTCTGTCCTAGTCATGGTACAGTGATTTTAATTAATAAGCAGTGATGCTGTCTATCAAATTTGCTGTATCTAAAATTCTGCAGACAGACAAGATGCAATGTTATTATTATTTTTTATGGAGAAACATTTCCTTATGACAGGCTTACAATATTATCCCTATTATTATACACAGTTCTGTAATTGCAGGTAGCAAAAGTTCCCTGGGTATATCATTTTCAATGAAACTAAGTGGTAAGTTTTGTAAAATTATTCTTGCAAGATTCACTTTTAAAAATATTACAGTTACACAACCATGGCTTTCTTTTCAATTGTGTGTAAAAAGTAAAATCACAAAAATACTGAACTTTGAGGAAGATCAATTCGGAAAGTCCATAATCACATGGCAAAATCAAATAACAAAACGCATCAAAAGCGAATTGACAAGAACTGTCATATTCCTGACTTGGTACAGACATTTTTAAATGGAGAAAATGGTGGATTAAACCTGGTTTTATAGTGCCAAACCTCTCACTTTGATGACAGTCTCATCAAATTCCCTTATATTTACAATGATGCGTTAACTAAACAGACACACAATCAATAAAATAGTCAAAATATGGGTACAGCAGTCATCCTCATGTAACAATTTTAAAAGGAACAATTTAACAGAACACAAAAACATCTATCTACAAACACATTCATTGATTTGCATGTCTGACGTCAGAAAATTTTATACGTCACATATATTTGTCTTCAATGTACATACAAACAATTTTAAAATTTCACATATGCAATGTTAGCATACAGGGTTAAAAAATCAAAAGTATGCAAGAATAAATTTCAGAAATAGACCAAGATATAAAATAGTCCAAAAGTTATATAGAACTTATAAGAATCCACAAATAGTTAATTCCACTACGCGATTGAAGTGAAAATATTTTTAACACATAAAAACTAACTTGACATGTTTTGAAATATTTTTAATTTTTTTTATTAGTCAAGTTTACTGGGAACCACTTATGGCAAGATTTTAGTATGCAGTTGTTATACTCCTGCTTTAAAAAAGTTAAGGGATACGTGTTGTTTTCAATTTTTTTTCCCTCTCTCTGTCTGTCGGTCATTCCCATGAATATTTTTTCCTTGAATTTTCTCAGGAACTGCTTTACAACTGCAAGGATTTCTGAAATTTGGTTTCAGGGTTATATGAGTCAGCTATACCATGTGATGTGTTGTTAGATTCATAAGCCAAAAATTCCCATCTACCAAACACTTGCATCATTTCAAGTTATTACATGACATCCAAGTTGAAAATTTTCATCACAATTTTCAGTAACTACATTACAAGGATTTCTGAAATTTGGTTGATATGAGTCAGCTTTACCGTGTGCTGCGTTTTCAAATTTATCACTCAACAACTTCCTGTTCACTGAACACTTACATATTTTTACACTATTAACATTTTCCAGTAGCTCACAGTTTCACTTGTTTTAACTTTGGGTTATCTCATCTTCACTGAGATGAAATGGCATATTGCACTTTTGGTCATGGTTCATTGACTTTAAATATTTTGCAGAAGTATTGCTACATTAATTTCAACATTTGGATTACTTTTAATGTCATATCAACATTTTTATTTATTTATTTGGAAAACTTGGTATTACCACACTTTTCTCTTGAATAAGTAAGTGTTGTGTATAGATGCCTAGAAGTAAAACATACTATGGAAGGCCACTCTTTTCTACATTGTAAATGAATAATTTGAAATGACAGTTTTATAAATGTTCACCTATAAACTTGAATGATATTGTTCAAGGGTTTTTACATCACATGGCTGATTCAGATGCTGTTTTAAGAGCAGAATCAGGAATGTCCTTAATTGAAGAACCGCCACTGCTATCAGTACATATCAAAATGATGACTATGTTATGGCTCTGTCCTAGTCATGGTACAGTGATTTTAATTAATAAGCAGTGATGCTGTCTATCAAATTTGCTGTATCTAAAATTCTGCAGACAGACAAGATGCAATGTTATTATTATTTTTTATGGAGAAACATTTCCTTATGACAGGCTTACAATATTATCCCTATTATTATACACAGTTCTGTAATTGCAGGTAGCAAAAGTTCCCTGGGTATATCATTTTCAATGAAACTAAGTGGTAAGTTTTGTAAAATTATTCTTGCAAGATTCACTTTTAAAAATATTACAGTTACACAACCATGGCTTTCTTTTCAATTGTGTGTAAAAAGTAAAATCACAAAAATACTGAACTTTGAGGAAGATCAATTCGGAAAGTCCATAATCACATGGCAAAATCAAATAACAAAACGCATCAAAAGCGAATTGACAAGAACTGTCATATTCCTGACTTGGTACAGACATTTTTAAATGGAGAAAATGGTGGATTAAACCTGGTTTTATAGTGCCAAACCTCTCACTTTGATGACAGTCTCATCAAATTCCCTTATATTTACAATGATGCGTTAACTAAACAGACACACAATCAATAAAATAGTCAAAATATGGGTACAGCAGTCATCCTCATGTAACAATTTTAAAAGGAACAATTTAACAGAACACAAAAACATCTATCTACAAACACATTCATTGATTTGCATGTCTGACGTCAGAAAATTTTATACGTCACATATATTTGTCTTCAATGTACATACAAACAATTTTAAAATTTCACATATGCAATGTTAGCATACAGGGTTAAAAAATCAAAAGTATGCAAGAATAAATTTCAGAAATAGACCAAGATATAAAATAGTCCAAAAGTTATATAGAACTTATAAGAATCCACAAATAGTTAATTCCACTACGCGATTGAAGTGAAAATATTTTTAACACATAAAAACTAACTTGACATGTTTTGAAATATTTTTAATTTTTTTTATTAGTCAAGTTTACTGGGAACCACTTATGGCAAGATTTTAGTATGCAGTTGTTATACTCCTGCTTTAAAAAAGTTAAGGGATACGTGTTGTTTTCAATTTTTTTTCCCTCTCTCTGTCTGTCGGTCATTCCCATGAATATTTTTTCCTTGAATTTTCTCAGGAACTGCTTTACAACTGCAAGGATTTCTGAAATTTGGTTTCAGGGTTATATGAGTCAGCTATACCATGTGATGTGTTGTTAGATTCATAAGCCAAAAATTCCCATCTACCAAACACTTGCATCATTTCAAGTTATTACATGACATCCAAGTTGAAAATTTTCATCACAATTTTCAGTAACTACATTACAAGGATTTCTGAAATTTGGTTGATATGAGTCAGCTTTACCGTGTGCTGCGTTTTCAAATTTATCACTCAACAACTTCCTGTTCACTGAACACTTACATATTTTTACACTATTAACATTTTCCAGTAGCTCACAGTTTCACTTGTTTTAACTTTGGGTTATCTCATCTTCACTGAGATGAAATGGCATATTGCACTTTTGGTCATGGTTCATTGACTTTAAATATTTTGCAGAAGTATTGCTACATTAATTTCAACATTTGGATTACTTTTAATGTCATATCAACATTTTTATTTATTTATTTGGAAAACTTGGTATTACCACACTTTTCTCTTGAATAAGTAAGTGTTGTGTATAGATGCCTAGAAGTAAAACATACTATGGAAGGCCACTCTTTTCTACATTGTAAATGAATAATTTAAAATGACAGTTTTATAAATGTTCACCTATAAACTTGAATGATATTGTTCAAGGGTTTTTACATCACATGGCTGATTCAGATGCTGTTTTAAGAGCAGAATCAGGAATGTCCTTAATTGAAGAAGAAGAGGTGGAGACAAAGCCAGAACAGTTTTTCAGTTATACTGATGTGTTGTTGTGTCCAGAAACACAAACTGCAGCAGAGCCATACTTTAGTACAGATGCATGGCAGCTTGTTTTAAATACTCTCAAAGTATTAGAAGGTAATCAGTCTGAATATCTATAATATGGCATTGACACATTCCCTTGGAACTGATTTTTCAAATGATATAAAAGGTTTAATCTAAATGGTTGAAAATATATTGAAAGGTACAGAAAGGTAGTAAAAAAAACCACCATAAAGCAAAGAACATTGGAAAAAAATTCAAAATAATATCAACCAAGATATTAAACAGACCTATGTTTCTGGGATCTCCTTTACTTAAGCATGTTTAGCTCTTGAGAATATCATGTCACATGTGAAAAGGAAGCATTGATTTTCATAGGAAAAACATTTAATAGCAAATATCAGAGTATGATGCAGATATTCACAGTTTCAAAACTTATTTGAATGACTAGGTTTTTTTTTAAATGATTTTATACTATAGTGTTATTTTTAAAAAGAACCTTCAATTAGATTATTTTCATTACTTTTTTATGTTTTAGATATGTATATTGTTAACACTCAGAAGAAATATGATATGATTTCTCCATCTCGGACAAGAAAAGGCAAAGCTTTAATAGGATCAGCTAAAGGTTGGTCATTAAAAAAATCATTTTGAAAAGAAATATAAATATAAGGACATGATGTGTTATAGTCAATGAGACAACCATTCAGAAAAGCCCATTAAACAAGTTTTAAACAAACAGACCATTGTACGGTCTTCAACAATAAGAAAATAAGAAAAACCTATGCCTTCTTGAGTATTCAAAGTTTAAGAGACCTCAACAATAAAAATATTGGTATTCTATTTGTCAAGAACAAATTAGAAACCTTTTCATCAAATCAATGACGTGACTATAAAAACAACCATACAAGTTATCTCATTCTGATTAGATATAGCATGTTCTGAAGGGCTATTTTGCCAATGAAAAAAGAAAGATATTTTTCGCTTGAAACCCTGCTGATATTTCTGCTTAATAACACATAACATTAATACAGATGGGAAAGTGAAACATTTGCTATTGATTTCAATTGTTCTTTCTCTTCAAGGCATTACTAAAAAAAAAGTCACAATTAATAAAGCAAGCTATTGATTAAGCATCATTGTGAAGTGGGAAAAGAAGTATAATTTGAGCAAATACCATGGTTGAGATAGTGAACCATGATTTAGCATGTTACTAAGACAATTAGTATATTCTAATTCCATTTAAAGAATGTCATTGTGTTTAAAATATGACCAAGCTTTGGCTTTGTCTGAATCCGTGAACCAGTTTTGATGGTCAACAATAGTTATTATATATGATATAAATTGCAAATTCATGTATGATTCTTGTTAACAACATTTGTAGCATTAAAAAAAATATTTAAAAATTTCACTTTGTAAACTTTATTATTGAATTCAGGATCAAACAGTTTATAAATTTATTGTAGGAAGAATATTTAAAAAGTGTTCAAAAAAGAAATCAGACCAGATTGATTCAGGTAATTAATTCTTTCAAGAAGGAAAAAAAAGGAAAAATCAAATACCTAACTGTCCTTCGTTGGTTGAAAGGTCATTTTGGGTATTACCATTTATTTGGTGTCAATCATATGTAATTAAAAACCTGCTCTTAAGAGCCTCAAGTTTTATATATTGTTGATTTTACGTTTTTGATTTATGGGAATTTATTCATAAAAATTTGAGAGAATTCTGATTAAAACTCAAAAATGCTTTGAGGGATTTCCATGAAACTTTGGTGAGCGGTGGTGTAGTGGTGAGTGCATCGGACTACTATCACAAAGTTTCCTGGTTCAATTCCCAGTTGGGATGAAAATTTCAGAAACTGAATTGTCAGCTCTCCCTTGACACCATTTGCGAGTATGGTCTTGAGAAAACGATGATAGTCCGTTGGAAGGGGACAATAAATGGCTGACCGGTGTTAAGAGAGAGCCATAGCTCTTGCATGTAAGAGACACCCTTGGAGATTTCGAAACAGAGCAGCACTCGTACCCGCAAAGTGGAAAGAAATTAATATAAGTTGCAAAACTTGATTCCCAATCCACTATAAATAAATATGTGTAAACTAAACTTTGGTGAGTTGTTTATTTGCATTGACATACCTTCCCTTTTCTTATTTTAAATTTTGTTGATCTTATGTTTAAAAGGAGTACTGGGATTTTATTCATAAAATAGGAGGGATTTTCAAGTTTTCTAACTCTTACACAAAACACTTTGAGCAGTTTTCCTGGTGACTTGATTACATGTATAACCACCCTTTTTTCAATATAAATTTCTGATATGAAATGGATACCACTGTGTTTTCATGTCTCACAATTTACCATGTTGGGGGCCGAAGTCTATTTAAGCAGTGCTCAAAGTATTTCTAGCGGATCATTTCATTAAAGCATAATGATAATGAAGAGCTGAAAGGGTGGTGAGGTGTATATCATGCCCTCATGGCCCAGCTCTTTGATAATTGTATCTGACAGACATCCACTGCCTGTTTGCAGATACTTTGAATTTTTCAGTTTGATGTTTGAACTTCAATGTTTTTATTACTTATTTCTCCAGTACAACGAAATAAAACTCATTCATCTAGTTCGAGCGCATTTTCATGTTGTCAACTACTTTGAATAATGAGTGGGTTATGCTTAGCAAAATATGGGATAAAGTTTTGCTTTCTAAATTTCTAGCAATATATTTACACAGTCAGTATTGTACACAAAAGCTTACCATGAATGAGCATAGTATTTGATAAAACCAATACTTTTTAAAAGGATCAACAAGTCATTAGCAGGTCATGTGTTTAATTTGTTGTTGGGTAAGGTAAATTTTATTTTACTTGTGTTAGAATATTTGGGTCACAATGAGCTACAATTATTAGATGTGCTAGCTAAGTCAAGTTACATCTGAAGTATTTGGTGATAAGATACTTATTTTTAGAATATATTGTATTACAATTGAGCCCCTAATGTAATGGTGTGACTAGTCAGTTTCTTCAGCACAGTCGCATTTAACCCTTAATAATTGATTACTTTATAGGAAAAAGAAATGTATATTCCTTCACAAGTGAAGACAGTTCTCCACTAAAAGCAATGGAAGGTGAGTGAGTAAAAAAATGTTATATTCAAATTAACTTTATTTTAGAAAAAAACAATATTTAGCTCACCTTACTCATAGGGACAATGTAAGTTGAAACTATGACTTATTCTTATATCCATATAAATGGCTGTCCTTAAGACCAAAGAATTGTTAAACCATTTGGAAACCTGAAGCCTAATTTTTTTCTGTAGTTGTCTTGTTTCATAATAATTTATAGGTAATGAAGATTAAAGTTATGACCTATTTGTAGGAAAAACAGAAAAAAAATCCTCAACAAGTGACGACAGATCTCCATTAAAAGCAACAGATGGTAGGTATATTTTCTTATTTCAGTATGTATATTTACAGCTTTATGTTGTCCTAGATATAACTATGTGTCTAGCCTACTTCAAAGAAAAAGAATTAATATAAGGCATGTCAGATACTAGATTGAAGTTTAGTTTATAGAACAAAGTGATCCTATACATGCTTTATTGACTTCGTTGTCAACAGTTATATGGATCTGCTTACCCTTCCAGAGCACCTGAGATCACCCTCAGTTTTTGGTGGGGTTTGTGTTGCTTAGCTTAGTTTTCTATGTTGTGTCTTGTGTACTATTGTTTGTCTGTTTGTCATTTTTATACGCCCGTCAAATTTTGACGGGACGTATTATGGTATACAAATGTCAGGTGTCCGTCCGTCCGTCCGTCCGTCTGTCTGTCTGTCTGTCCGTCTGTCTGTCCGGCGTAAACATGTCGCACCGTAACTTGAGAACGACTTATCTAAATTTCATGAAACTTAATATAGTTGTTTTTTATGATGGTCAAATGATCTGTATACTTTTTCGTGAAAATAAGATTTAAACTTTTTGAGTTAGGGCACTTTGTAACTAAAACAGGGGTGTGTTTTTTTTCACATGTCGCGCTGTATCTCAAAAACGATTTAAGATTATTTCTTAAAACTTTACACACTTCTTTGTTATATTAAACTGAAGATCTGTAAACTTTTTGGTGATGACTCAAAATTTTATTTTTGAGTTATTGAGTATTTTGTAAAAAAGGGATGGTTTTTTTTAACATGTCGCGCCGTATCTCAAAAGCAATTTATGATTATTGCTTGAAACTGTACACACTTCTTTGTTATATTAATCTTAAGACCTGTATACTCTTTGGTTTCATACAAAATTTTATTTTAGTGATATTTGTAAAAAAAAAAACAGAGTGGGGGGGTTTCACATGTCCCGTCGTGTCTCAAAAACAATAAATGGTTATTGCTTAAAACTTTCTCAGAAACTATTTATGATTATTGCATAAAACTTTCACACAAGACGTCGGGCGTGTCATGCGCTCATGGCGCAGCTGTTTATTGTTTTTAACCATAGCATTGTCAGTTTATTTTCAATTTATGAGTTTGACTGTCCCTCTGGAATCTTTCGCCCCTCTTTAAGGTTCAATCTGTGGTTACAGTCTTTTGAGAAATCAAACATTGTGTCAAACCTTCATGAAATTTTATGAAATTTGAAAAGAAGGTTGTTTATGACCAACTGACAGTATTCAGAGCAAAGTTTTGAAAATAATCATATAAATATATAGTATACTGTATACATATGTTTGAAGGACTTTATTGGATAATGATTTTAGTAGGGAGAAGAAATTTGAATATTTTACCAAGTGCGGAAAGTTCTCCAGTAAAAGCAACATATGGTGAGTATGAATTTTAACTAGACATTTTTAACATCCGGATTAAATTAATGTGACAAATTTTTTTCTGGGCTTTTAATGAAAATACATAGAAACCATATATTTTCAGTATCAGGGTAAGATTAACTGTTTTTTGACACCTTCATTGTCTACTTTTCACCTTTCTTATGTTTCTTTTCAACTAATACCACTTGTAATTAAGAATGTAAAGACCTATATAAGTCTCTGAACAATTGGTTAAGATTGTTATTTTATTCAAAGTAAAATTGAGAATGGAAATAGGGAATGTGTCAAACAGACAAAAACATGACCGAAGAGCAGAAAACAGCCAAAGGCCACAATTGGTCTTCAATACAGCTGGGCCCTAAAAAAAAATGTGTACTAGTCTAGTGATAACTGATGTCAATCTAAACTCTGAAGTATATTAATGAACTAAACTTAAAAATCAATCAAGATGAACAAAGGCCAGAGGCTTCTAACTTAGGACAGGTGCAAAAATGGGATTGGTTAAACATGTTATTTTGAGATATCCCATATGCCTCTTGCCAATACAGAAAATACAAACACACAGCAATATGCACAGTAAAAGAATAGGTAACAAAAGAAACTAAAAAAATGACAATGGTACATAAATTAACAAAGTAATACTAGCATTTACTGACAGGCCAGCTCAAAACTTGGATTAAACTGACTGAAAGTTAATGTCTTCATCATATGAATATCAATCTCAATTCCTCCTGTTAGTGATTAAGTATCATTACATCATAAAATATATGAGAAGTACATAACCCTGTCACTTGCAATGACCCCCATTAGTGAATCAATATTAAAGCTAAAATTTGCCATCTTTAATAACATGAAAACAGAATCATAAATATATCCCTTTTTTAATAGGTCTTTTTAAAGATTTTGAGTTGAAAGCTGACATTTTTTTGCGTTTGTAAATAATTTAACCGTATTGGATTTGAAACACTAGAAAGTATACGAAGTCTGCATGCTGATTTCTATTTATGAATGATGACCTTGTACTTATGATAAGATTTAGTAAATGTTTTGACTAGTTTATGATATCTAAAACCCTTGTGTAATTATTTTTCAGAAAAACATAGATTTCTTTCGCTAAAATCTAGTACATTGTTACATACACAAGCGAAATTGTAAAAGTTGAAATATAAACACCATAAGATGGTGAAAAAGGAATGTCACCATCTAAAAATGGATAATTAACCATATGAAATGTTTACTTTTTCAGATTTAAATGATGCTATAGATGTGTGCCCAATTTTAGAAAAGACCAGTGAAATTACTGGAGACGGTGAAAAGATAAGTGAAACTACTGGACAAGGTGAAAAGATTAGTGAAACTACTGGACAAGGTGAAAAGATTAGTGAAACTACTGGACAAGGTGAAAAGATTAGTGAAACTACTGGACAATGTGAAAAGATTAGTGAAATTACTGGAGATAGTGAAAAGATAGGTGAAACTACTGGACAAGGTGGAAAGATTAGTGAAACTACTGAAAATGGTAAATATTCTGAAGTTTTTACAATATCAAATCAGTCAAAGGTTGTATTGGTGACTGTGGCTTCTCTTCAAATTTTTGAGATGGCCACCATATACTTAAAATTGGAAGATTGTGTAAGGCTGAAGGTTTTATAATATCTCTTAGTATTTAATACAATGGACCCAATAGAGATTGTTTGCATCTCACTGATATTTACTTTACCATAGGGCAGATGTTTTATGAATGTGATAGTTTAGTTTCCTTATGCAACAATCTTTCTCAGGTGCTTTGCTGTTATTTTGATAGTTATTTTTGAAATGAATGATAACTGATTAAACTGATTTAAGGTGTGTGAAAACAAATTTCAGCTTCATAATGCAAAATTTAAAGAAGTTGAAATAATGACAAAATTGATAATGGAAATTGGGAATGTGTAAAAAAGCAATAATCCAACCAAAGAGCAGAAACATATGAAGACCCCCTTTGGGTCTTCAACACAGAGAGAAAATCCAACACCTTTAGCTGGCAACTTATAAAAAATGTGTACTAGTGCAGTGAAAATCGACGCCACACTATTATTATCCAAAACATATAAAAGAACTGAAGGGCATAGTTGACCATAATTCATTTATACAAATGTAAGAGACAGCATACACATTGTGATGACACCTTGTCTATCTCTTCTAAGGTATTGGAATGCTGTCTTTTCTTTTAAGGTAATCAGAAATAATTTTTTGTCAGTTTGAATGACTGAATTTGTGTTTTTGGCATCCTAATGCAGATCAAAGTGAAAGATCCAAAATATATTTTATATGCCTTGGACAATATATTTGTTTCATTAAAAACAAGTTGTTGTTTTGAACTGTAATTGGATAATCTAAGTATAAGTTGATCTGAATATATGATATAGTTTCCAAGTATTTACAAAGTAAGAAAAGTTATCTGTTCCTGATGTGTCATGTGATTTAAGCAATATAAAAGTTTTTTTGCTAATATAATAAATTTATCTTTCTAGGAAGAAAAAGAACAAGTTGTTCTTCAAAAAATGAAAAAGTGGATGCAACAGAATCCAAGAAGTGCACAGTAAGACTGACTGATATTGGTACTATTAAAAACTTGAAAACATATGTTGATAAGACAGAGAAAAAAAGAAAAAGAAGAAAGATATGTCTAAAGAACTTGTAAAATAATATATGTAATATGTTAAGTTTTAAATAAGTTCATCTGATATGAAACAACAAATTCAGGATACTTTGTGTCATATTTCAAATAAGTTGAATGGATATCTACTTTTATGATAAAACTATGATATTTCAAAAAGTTGTAAATATTTTTTGTCTAATTTATGAAAATCAGTAATAGAATAAGGAAAAAAGTGTAAATATATTAATATATAACAAAATCCCTTCAAGAAAATCTTGACCTTTAGCTTAGTCATGCAGTTCTATGACAGCAGAACTTGTTTTATGTTATAGTAGCAACTTAAATATAAGTATGACCAAATGCTAAGCAAATAATAGAAATCAGGAAAGAGAACACATTGTTGTGTATTAATTCTGTGGGACTTGATTATTTATCTAAAGTTTTTCAATAGTGTTAATGTATGTCATGTCTGCAAATTTTCTACACTAATATTTTTCAATGTTAAATTTTTTTCCATCAAGTAAATGAGTCTGCAATACAAACAAAAGAGTGTATTGCACAGTTCTTTCCATTAAGGTCATGTGTATTCATTTATGCACAAAAAAAGTCATAACTATAAGTATTGTTTTTATAACTGTGTAATGTTTACCCTCCTATATCAAGTATATTGGCCAAGAAACTTGAGAAAAAAGTTCAAATTCTGTAAAGTTTTGCTTGAGCCGGATTTTTTCAGCAAGAAATTATTATATATATATAAAGAAGTTCAAGTCAAATATGAACTTGATTTTTACATTATACTATATATAGATATAATACTTTTACTTAATCATGCTCCTCGGATATACAAGTTGTCCAATTATTGAATTGAATAAAAGACAAATATTGGTGTGTAACGATCTTCATACTGTTAGCGTTCAGCCAGGATGAAGAGGTTTTGCTCCAATTGGATTGAGTTATTATAGTTATAAAAAAAGGAAGTGCATTCTAGATTGATTGATAGAGATGGAATCTTATAGTTAATTTTAGTTATGATTTGAGGATAATGATATATAAATAAAGTCTATCTTGTGACTTTAATATTTTATTGTTGTTGTTTGCTTAAACAATATGTTAAGTTTTTTGTTAATAATTTGTGTCTTTATTTATTCTGTTACATTATCAGCTTTTTTGTGAACCTTCAGAATTTGTGGATAATCTTTTGCAACATAAATGTCAAAATATTCATGCATCATGCATCTTTAATTTTCTTTTTCTTTGCATAATATGTACCATAATGTATATAGAGATAATCTTTTTACCTAATCATTCTGCTCGGATATACAAGTTGTCCAATTATTGAATTGAATAAAAGACAAATATTGGTGTGTAACGATCTTCATACTGTTAGCGTTCAGCCAGGATGAAGAGGTTATGCTCCAAATTGTCTCTTGTTGATTATTGATTAACCCTTAAGGGTAAAGACCAAATGTTTGGACATTCAAAGAGTGTTTTGAAAACAAAATCCACATGATTGTCTGAAGGTTTGCTATGGTGTAGAAGCATCTTGAAAACATATCTGCTTTTATCCTTTTTCCTTTTTGGGGTGGGTAAGAATATAATTCTTAATAAGGAACTATAATTAAATAGTTGGGAAAAAAGGAAAAAGGATATTGCAATTCTATCATGAATAAGCTAATTCTTCATTTAAACTTTGGTCATGATGGTGAACCCAGTGTGGTTACCATTGTGCCCTAGACCAAAGTTAATTTAGCACTAAAAAGGAGTGAGTTTTTATTAGATGTTGTTAATAATTATATGCAAATGCAAAATGAAAATGATATTGTAGAAATAGAAATTATTTTATCAGAGTATAATCGCAATTTTACATTAGGCTTTTTATTTAAACAATTATTAAATGACAATAATGAAGTAAAAAGATGTAGAGAGGGCAAAACAGCTCATCTTGTTCCACTGATTGAAAAGTTCAAACTTGAAACAGACTTTGTTAAACTGCTTCTGCCACGAAAAATCAGAGCAAAAAATGCTGTTGCCATTCATTCACTTTATATCAAACCAATGTATCGTTCTGTCATTAATGAGTTTTATTTACTTAATTTACATGGAGTAAATTCACAGGGACATATAAGTGCAGAAGATTTTATGAGGTTATTGCACGAACTTAAAACCTGTCATGCTCATTATTTAGTGCACATTTTACCAGTTTGCATTTGTTTGAGATGCACTGAATATAGACATGAAAGACTTAATCAGCTTTCAGAATGTACCTATGCAACACCTTACCATGGTCCTATTACAAATAGCCCTTTCCGTAATTTACCAGTAGGACAACAACGATTAACAGGTGGCAGACCTGGATAATGTTATTCTGTTATTCCATAGTTTACATGTATTACATCTTTCACATTGTTATTTGTTTATTATGCTAATAAATGATTAGTACACAATTGAATATCATTTGTCTTTATTTTAATCATATATAAGTTACTAGTAGTTGTTGATTTATTCATAGACGAAACATACTGAAAAATAATAAACAGAAAAAAAAGATTTGAAGAGGCCATATTTTGAATGAACATTCAAAATATTGTGGCATTTAAGGTCTCAAGGTCTATTGATTATTTAATATTTCATGGGAATTTGTTTTTTTAATTTTTTAATAAATTTCCAAATATAGGCAACCAATGTTCAACAGTCATAATTCGATAAAAAGAAAACAAATCAAGGCTGCAAACAAAAACTGTTAGAGTATTTTAAAGTTTCTCAACGTAACAGTTTTTTTCTTATTTTCCTCCTTACAAAGTAATTAACCATAGACATGGAATAACTTTTATGTTTAGGTAATTAGGTTTCATGATTGCCAATGTTCTACTATAATGTTCCAGCCAAAGACACAAGGATATGAATATTACAGTATAGCCTTTATCATGAAAAAACTCTTTGATTGTATTTAAAGCAACAGTAGTATACCGCTGTTCAATAGTCATAAATCTAATCAAACAATAAAAATAACATTTAGCCTCAGAAACAGTTCAAAGAGATTATTCAAAAGCAGAGATCAAGTTTAGTGTAAATGTTGAATAAGATTCTAGCATATCAAATCACACAAAATATCAGAACCCTATAATTTCTGTCATCAATACAAGTGTTCTCTAGAAATTTCAACGAGTGAATAAGCCATATGGTACTAGCATTAAACATCAGCTCCCTTTACAAACCTTAACACAAAATTATAAGCATTCGCCGAAAATTGAAGGGTTTGTTAGCATTGATAGCATGGAGAACTTGCATTACATTTCATAAACAATGCGTCTTTGGAGTGCTTTTGTGGATGCTTCTTCAGCGGCTTCTGCTTGATCTCTGATTTTGAAATGTCGACTTATTTTTTTTGTTTTGTTTCGGACTTTTCTCTAATGGTTGACATTCTTCCTACACCAATGAATGAGAAAGTGAGCTTAACATGCTTAAGTGGAAGAATCGGAATTACAAATAAATAATCATGCATATTATATATACATTCGGAAGCATCGGTATTTCCTTCCAAAAATCACGACTTTGCACGAGTTAACACATACTACTGTATCATTTTGTCCACTATTGCAATTGCTATTGTGACTATGTTGAACGCATCCATCCCATCGAACACGAGATAAAGGATACAACAGATACAGTTAAGTCGGCCTCATATATTGACTTACATCTACACATTGACAATGAGGGTCTAAGTAGCAACATTCCAGCAGCGCCTGCATACGGAGTATATATCTCCAAATTGATACGATATCAAGAGCTGGTTAATAACCGCTATGGATGAACAGTTTCACAGATGATATCAGATATGTTCCTTACGTGGTTACTACAATCCCCTTCCCTTTTCATGAATGTGACCTACCGAATGAGACTATTTACCAGGTTTGTTGAAATAACATAAGCAACACGACGGGTGCCACATGTGGAGCAGGATCTGCGTACCCTTCCGGAGCACATGAGACCCCCCAGTTTTTGGTGGGGTTTGTGTTGCTTAGTCTTTAGTTTTCTATGTTGTGTCTTGTGTACTATTGTTTGTCTGTTTGTCTTTTTCGTTTTTAGCCATTGCGTTGTCAGTTTATTTTCGATCTATGAGTTTGACTGTCCCTCTAGTATCTTTCGCCCCTCTTTTGCCAAACAAAGTTTACCTTATATCCTCTTCTGCGTTGTGTCATATATTTCATATTACAGCACTTATAAAAACAGTTTGTGACTGAGGTCAGACTAAGATAACCGTTGACAACAAAAATCTCTGCAATAGTTAGAAAAAATGAAAATAAGGTATATATCGCATGCGTCCAAAGCGCTATTCCGGGTTGATCTTAATCATTTACGCTCAGAGCCTTATATTTGAAAGACGAAGATGTAAAAAAAAAAACAACAGAAACAGTTGAAGAGCTATTCGACCAAAAGAACAAAAAAATAAGACAACATAGTTGACGGTCAGCTGCACCTGGTGGACTTGAAATCTTAGGTTTTTTTTATTTAAATATTTATAATTGGACAATTGAAGAGAATTTGAAGGAACTGCAGAATCAAAACTCCTTTTTTTGCTGGCATGGTTTATAAAAAAAGTCGATATAATATATGTTATTACCAATGTAATTTCAACTGATCTTACGCTTTAATTTGCATATGGACAGTCTTTTTGAAGATGTGTGCAATAAGGATGATTTCCGTTACAATTATAATTGATTTCTAATCACTTATCAGTGTCACAAAACGGATATACAAAAGAGCTGACGGTATGATACTAGTATGGGACAAATAGCTGAACACTAATTGATGAATTTATCCAAAAAAACACCTGTATATGTACGGACTGGTCCATGATGAGCAAACCGGTAAAACACCGCCAGTCAAGTGAAATAAATCAAGTATTAACATCAGAACAGTTATTAAAAATTAAATTGGAAATATATTATAATTGCTTCCTTTGTTGAAACACCATTTAAAAACAAATAATATAAAGGTCATACAATTATTCAAGCATTTAGGAGACAAAAGTCAAAACATAAAGGCGCTTTTAATGCTGAACTCACCTGAACGTTTGAAAAGTCCTTGATTTATCCTTTGTCTAAAGCGTTTGAAAGATAAAGAATTTTGAAGACTTCAAAATGGCGCAAATTTATATTTTATTTATAGTTAAATGGCAAAAACATCAAATTTGTCTGTTTTATAAATTGCAATGAGAATTTTATTTAGAGAAAGAATCATACCAAAACAGGAGGAAACATCAGGAATCTTTTACGTGAGTATTTCCTTATATTTGACTTGTTTATCTATCTGTTTGTATGAGAAAATGTAAACAAAGTATCTACTGGACCCATATGCTCATGTACAAGTTCTATAGCTGATATATATGTTCAAACAGCTCAGTCAATTGTTGATTATTATACATTTTTTTCAAGTATTCTTTTATTCATATTTTGGACATCTTCAATCGCCTGTCCAAAGCCAAACTGACTCCTCGTTAGGTTTGTCTTGTCTTGACTTAATCTTAATGGTTTATATATTGTTTTTAAACGACGTATAATATATGTGGACACAACATATAATAAACAGTACTGCCTAGTATACAATATGAATTTGAAGTATACAAAAGGAGGATGATAACAAACATTTAGCGATAATACCGTGTCACAAATATGCAAATGCAGCTATTGTGTTTCTTTGAAACCTACATGTAAATAAGTACCTGTGTTACTTAGTATTCTTAAATCAAGATACAGGGGCAGATCCAGCCATTTTCATAAGGGGGAACGGGGGTCAAAGCATAAGTTCCAGGAATCTACCCCCCTCCCTAATCTGCCCCTGAGACATAATATACATAACACGTACCTCATATGTGAAATATTTTACATTTACTGTATCATCATACAATTTCGTAAAAAACTAAAACTTTAGCATTTTATATCATGTAACTTTAATATTATAAGAACTTGTTCAAATTTCGAAGAATGCTAAAATTTTAGTTTCATAAATTGAATCTTTTTTTTTGGCAGCTAAAATTTTAGCCGTAAGAGTTTTGAATTAAAATTTTCGGTAGGCTAAAAATTTAGTTTTAATATATAAATGTATTGTGTATTATATATAAA